CAGTGACATTGTCCAACTTTAACAAAAAAAAATACGCAAGCTGCCCGTGTCGAGCCAGCTCTTTCTCCAACAACTCGTTTTTCAGAAATGGGGGCACATTAGAAGTGATAACTTTTTTTGCAGGAGTACCGAAGGAGTGGCAGACCGGGGTGGTGGTTCCCCTATTTAAAAAGGGGGATCAGAGGGTGTGTGCCAATTACAGAGGCATCACACTACTCAGCCTCCCCGGGAAAGTTTACTCTAAGGTACTCGAAAGGAGGGTCAGGCCGATTGTCGAACCTCAGATTGAGGAGGAACAATGCGGATTCCGTCCTGGTCGTGGAACGACGGATCAGCTTTTTACTCTCGCAAGGATCCTGGAGGGGGCCTGGGAGTACGCTTATCCGGTCTACATGTGTTTTGTAGACTTGGAGAAGGCGTATGACCGAGTTCCCAGGGAGTTACTGTGGGAGGTGCTGCGGGAGTATGGGGTGAGGGGGGTCTCTACTCAGGGCCATCCAATCTCTGTACTCCCAAAGCGAGAGCTGTGTCCGGGTCCTCGGCAGTAAGTCGGACCCATTTCCGGTGAGGGTTGGCCTCCGCCAGGGCTGCGCTTTGTCACCAATCCTGTTTGTAATATACATGGATCGGATTTCGAGGCGTAGTCATGGGGGAGGGGGTCTGCAGTTCGGTGGACTAAGGATTGCACCACTGCTTTTTGCAGATGATGTGGTTCTAATGGCTTCATCGGTCTGCGACCTTCAGCACTCACTGGATCGGTTCGCAACCGAGTGTGAAGCGGCTGGGATGAGGATCAGCACCTCCAAATCTGAGGCCATGGTTCTCAGCAGGAAACCGATGGACTGTCCACTCCAGGTAGGGAATGAGTCCTTACCCCAAGTGAAGGAGTTCAAGTATCTCGGGGTCTTGTTCTCGAGTGAGGGAACAATGGAGCGTGAGATGGGCCGGAGAATCGGAGCAGCGGGAGCGGTACTGCAGTCGCTTTAACCGCACCGTTGTGACGAAAAGGGAGCTGAGCCAGAAGGCAAAGCTCTCGGTCTTCCGGGCCATTTTCGTTCCTACCCTCACCTATGGTCATGAAGGATGGGTCATGACCGAAAGAACGAGATCGCGGATACAAGCGGCCGAGATGGGTTTTCTCCGCAGGGTGGCTGGTGTCTCCCTTAGGGATAAGGTGAGAAGTTCGGTCATCAGGGAGGGACTCGGAGTTGAGCCGCTCCTCCTTCGCGTCGAAAGGAGCCAGTTGAGGTGGTTCGGGCACCTAGTTAGGATGCCACCTGGGCGCCTCCCTAGGGAGGTGTTCCAGGCACGTCCAGCTGGGAAGAGACCAAGGGGTAGACCTAGGACCAGGTGGAGGGATTATATCTCTTCGCTGGCCTGGGAGCGCCTTGGGATCCCCCAGTCAGAGCTGGTTGATGTCGCCAGGGAAAAGAAAGTTTGGGGCTCTCTGCTGGAACTGCTACCCCCGCGACCCGATCACGGATAAGCGGGAGAAGATGGATGGATGGATGGACAAGGGGTAGCACGGGTAACGGCGTCCCTTTAACCTGTTAAGCCCCAAGGACCCCCTCGACGGGTCCTTTTTTTTTTTTCATGACACTGTGTCTTAAGAACCTATTAATGTGTTATACCAGATTAACGGGAATAATCTCAGCTAACGGACGATACAAACCATTTTTACCAAAACAAAGCACAAGTCTCATAAGAAGCATCTAAATGACCCCTGAGCGAAAAATGCTAACCTATTACTGCACCGATAATCACTCCTAGCTCCCTTATTACTTATCCTAGCTGCACATCCAACACATAGTTTATGATCGCAAGGAGACACAGAATCTAACGGTGCCCACCTCAACACTGAAAGATACAAACTCGCGACGTTATCAACAAAAACGTACATCAAAACAAGTGGCGCTAGGTAGCCCACAACGCTAACATGGCTTACCTTCGTCTTTGTCTGGTCTAAACTCAGGGTGTCCGCAGGGTCTTAAAAAGTATTAAAAGTTGATAAATCAATTTAGCGAAAATTAAGGCTATTAAAAAGTATTAAACGGCATTTTCCAAGGTATTAAGAAGGTCCACAACAACGACAACATGAAACGCCCTTTAATTTACTGAAACAACATGTCGGGAAACCCCCTCAAGGTGGCCCCATGCATAGCGTGCCATAAAATGCTCCGCTCTGTGGGGGGGGGGGTTTATCTGCTGGTGGACTACCTGAGAGATATACAGCAGGAGAACACACCGTCCACCCATGGATGTATAATAAGAACTGGATACAGCGTGGGAGGCAGGGCCTCATTCATTCCTATGAGAGTTGCTCGATGGCGCATGATGACAAAATGGCCCAACTTTTGAGAGAGCGAAACGTCACAGATTACCCGGCATGCCTGAGAAGTACCCGTATGTGCGCTCATAGAGCATGCGCAACTTTACCACGCCGCCCAAAAGGCTCGTTCACATTAAGCACGTGAATTTGCGTACACGTAACAGCACCGCGCGTTCATGACAGCATGGTACTGGATTTATATTAACGAGGCGGCAGTTAGCAGCTAGCGGCTAGCTAGTAAATTATGCTAAGTTACACATCAATCGTTATGTACTTTTATATTACGCTGACATCAGGATCTAGTGATATCCAAGCAACAGAGCTTCATTTAGCATGATACTTGTGTGGGTTGTACATGAACCACTTGGTAATATATAAATGTATATGTTGAAGCCTGTTATGATCAATTGTGAGTTAAATCTTATCTAAAAAGTAAAGCTGATGATGGATTACTGTGGTGGAGTTAAAATAACAATAGCCCATTTCTTTTTGAAATGTGATGGAGTAAAAGGATAGTAACTGTGATTATTCATGTTAAGTAGCCCACAAGTAACTAAAACAATTGCAAGTGCAATAAGAAGCTACAGGAACGTTAATCTACGTCGGTAATATTAACTTTATTTAATACAACATTTACGGTACAAGATTTACATCATACAGCCCATAATATTTTACAAATGATGAATTACAGCAAACATGTGCAATATATCCATTATTACAGCTCCGTGGGATGGCAGTAAGGCGATATGGGTCCGTTGTTATTGTGTATCCATGGGTAAAGAGAAACCCATGTAGTACTGAACACGTAATATGAACGTGCCGGGCGGCGCGGTCCCGTGGGTTAGATGCGCGTTCATAATGCCGAGGGAAATAACTCTCAGAATAACGTTATTAGCACATTTTTACAATTTGAGGAACGAATGTTTTTAATAAGGGCTATACAAACGTTCATACTGGGTAGTTTATTTAGTTTAAAAAAAATTATGCAACGAGTTACAGACCACTCTTTCCCCATGTAAGTCAATGGGAAAAAGTGTTTCCGGGCCCAGCAACCTAAAGGAAGTGTAGTACCGCCGTTTGACCACAACGAATATTCTCATCAGACTCCGGCGCACTTCCTGGGGGCTTGCGTCCACCGCGGAGAATAAACAGAAGGGCAACCATGACAACCATGCTCCGGGGTCTTCTTCGCTGCTTTTGGTGTATTTTGTGGCGGCAGCAGCGCCACTTACAGGCCTGGCATATGTACTACAGCGTTTCCAGCATTTCCAGCGGTCTAGTGTGAACGGACACGTTAATTAATCGAATGCGTGTGAACGGAGGACTTTTTTGCGTTTGCGTATGCGTTTTACTGTATGCGTCCTCGTGGGGCCAGGGTCTAAGCCAAACTATATCCGGTCACAGAGATCTGCTATTTTAAAGTAAGGTCAACACATATCGACCCTAAATATAGTCTATATTAAGAACGAGAAAAGTTTTAACATATATATCGTTTTTTGTAAACATATGACAAATGTGTGAGGGTGATGACGTCAGAGCATCGTCCTATGTGCCGGGCTTAGCCCCGGACAGCCCCAGCCCAATTTAACCCCTGGGTATGTGTGAGGGAGCTCCTATATGGCATTACCCCGCTGAAGCTCACCAAAGTTTAATATATTTCATAGTTCAAAGTTTTGTCAATTAGTCTGTCTGCACTCTGTTTAGTTGTGCTATCTTACAATCAATATAGTAAATGTGAGGTAAAGTGTGTCGCTAATGTAACCGGTTAGAACTCGAAGTTGCGATGAGGTCTTAAAATGTATGGAAAGGGTCTTAAAAAAGGTCTTAAAAGGTATTAAATGTGACTTCAGGATTCCTGCATATACCCTGAAACTGGTCTTCAATGGCATTAAAACGATAAAAACGATGCTGTAGTTAATCCATAGGTTAGTCCAATGTGACTGTGTCCCCTTTGAAATGTTCTGATAATCCATAAGCAATAAAACAGCTTTTCCGTTGCTTTATATCAGAGCAGCGATATTTCTCCCCTCAGCTGCAAGCTAGCATGCGCAGAGACGCCACCTTTTTTTTTTAACATGAGTGTGTGCGGGACGATTTCCCTTGGATTCTATTGGCTCTAACAGTCAGAAAGAGATGTCACATGTCAAAATGGAACAAGGGGGGCCAGAGATATGGAAAATCCACCCAAATTGCCCCAAAAGAGTTTTTTTTTTGCTAAATCCGTCTAAAAAGGTCAAATATCACTTGTTTTCCATCAATCTTGATACAGGGTACTTATTATATGTTGTACTTTGGATTACTAAAGCTTTTAGTCTACTAACCCATCATCCAAGGTTAGTTTTCACTATAAGTACAACATATTCTTTGGCCGGACACTATAATTTACAGTTTTTTACCATGTTCAATCTGAATTTTCTTTAAAAATAAAAAACATCTATATTGATTCTGACTTTTCTACATCCAACTCACAGGTTTATCATTACTTTGAGAAAAAAGATTATTAATTTAACCCTTTTAGAAGGGAAGATATGGTCATTTGTTCTGGGAATGTCATTTTCGAGCCTGAGACCTGAAAAATAGGCTCGGGTTTAACAGGTTAATCAGGATCCCGCTCTCCACCAGATGGTTAGCTTTCTCACTGCAGTCTAAAAAGATGACCACTGCACTATTCATGCGGGAGGCAGATTTGACTCTGCCATATCCCACCACAGCCCCCACAGCCAGACCACACACCGACAGGCGGAGAGAGCTTGATGGCGTGTTGGCGAGTCAGCTTCTCTAACCCGGCGCAGCTGCCGCGGAACGCCATGCTGGGCGGCGTGGCTGCGGCTGCAGCCGCTAGGGCTGCTCAATTAATCATATTTTAATCGCAATTACGATTATGGCTTGCAACGATTTGTTTTAAATTATTATTATTACTTTTTTTTTTTTTATTGGTTTTTCAGTTGAATTATACTTAAAGTTCATGGTTATCAACTGCTAAAAACATACTGTTCACATTTTTTTTCTCCAATAAATTGATGTTTTCAAAGTAAATGGATAATTGTTTTTAATAATCGTGATATCAATTATTGACCCAAATAATCGAGATTATGATTTTTGCCATAATCGAGCAGCCCTAGCAGCCGCTAGACAAAAAAATCAACAGTGCAACCAAACAACACCGCCAAAGAACCCCAAAATCGATAAAGTGATACAAACGTCAAGGGAGATGTATGCCTCATCATACTTTATTGATGTGGGCATTATAGCTGAAAGGCTTGTCGTGGGCTCGTCCACTTTTCTTTTAACTGCCGGTTGTGTTAAAAATGTGTAAATTTTACGAGCAAACAATGTTTGATTACAACTTCTTCCCAAGCTTCACGTGCCACCCTTGCAATAGCGCTGCACCCCCCAGGTTGGGAACAACTGGTCTAGCTGAATCCCCCCTCGCAGCTGTGTGTCTGTGTATTCAGCAGGATGTCTGCAGGAAGCACTTGAGTAAAGCTGTTACGGTAAACACTGCGAAGGAGAAAGGTTTGAGCTCCATACTGTTTCAGAGTATTTAATCACGACAGCGTTTAGCTGAGTTTCTCCTGGTAGAAAACTCTCTTAGCAGGGGAAAGCTGCGTGACTACAAAGGGGCGTGGCTAGCAGCAGCTGTTCCATTTAAAGCGAAGGTCCCAGAATCAGCCTTTTTGGAACAGGGCTGCAATAGAGGGGTATGAGCAGTATGAGGCATAGCTAAAATGGGTGATCTGTTTGGTATTTTAAGCAAAAAACTTCAGACATGTTTTGTATAGGTATGGCCCTACAGTATATTTGTAGTATTACCATTCTATAGGCGTAGTGTAGCTGTGAACGATCCCAAATACAATTCCTTGTTTACATTGGAGCTAGTGCTAAACCAGAAGAAAAAAACCCTTTTTCATTTTTAACTGGAAGTGGAAAGGGGTTAGGCGACATAAGGTGAATTGAGCCAACAAAAATACACAATAGATGGGACTAAGAAAGATAATATGGAACTATAAAAACAAAGGCATTCATTAGGGCTGCAAAAATGTCTCTCATTTTAATGGTGATTAGATTTTTAAATGCTAACACTTAAACTTTTTTCTGACTGTGTGTTTCCCGTTTCCTGCAGATGTCCAGCTGCTGGTGGAGGTTAAAGAAGAGCTTCTCCCTGACCAGCAGGAGTGGAGCACCAGTCTGGACCAGGAGGACCCAGAGCCCCCCCCACACATTAAGCAGGAACAGGAGGAACTCAGGATCAGTCAGGAGGGAGAGCAGCTTCAGGAGCTGGAGGAGGCTGATATCACCAAGTCCACTTTCACTCCTGACCCTGTGAAGAGTGAAGATGATGAAGAGAAACCTCAGTCCTCACAGCCTCATCAAAGAGAAACTGAACACATGGAAACAGAAGCTGATGGAGATGACTGTCGAGGACCAGAACCAGCCAGGAACTCAGATCCAGAGAGCAGTTTACAACCTGAGACTGAGGACCACACTGGAGACTCTTCTGAACCTCACACTGGAGACTCTTCTGAACCTGACACTGAACACAGTGCTGATTGGAAGGAGACCAGAGAACCTGCGTCAGGTTCAGAATCACTGAAAAATAGACAAGAATCCGTCAGTGATCCACGACGTAGTGCTGAAAAGAAACCATTCAGCTGCTCAGTCTGTAAGAAAGCTTTTAGACATAGAAATGATCTAAATCGACACATGAAAATTCACACAGGAGAGAAACCCTTTCGCTGCTCAGTTTGTGAGAAAGCTTTTTCACGGAGTGAAAATGTAAAGAAACACATGAGAATCCACACAGGAGAGAAAGCACACAGTTGCTCAGTATGTAAGAAAGCTTATTCACAGAATATACATTTAAAGCTACACATGAGAGTCCACACAGGAGAGAAAGCACACAGTTGCTCAGTCTGTAAGAAAGTTTTTTCAAGGAATATAAGTTTAAAGACACACATGAGGGTCCACACAGGAGAGAAACCATTCAAATGCTCAGTTTGTGAGAAAGATTTTTCACGGAGTGGAAATTTAAAGGAACACATGAGAATCCACACAGGAGAGAAAGCACACAGCTGCTTAGTCTGTAAGAAAGTTTTTTCAAGGAATATAAGTTTAAAGACACACATGAGGGTCCACACAGGAGAGAAACCATTCAAATGCTCAGTTTGTGAGAAAGATTTTTCCCGGAGTGGAAATTTAAAGGAACACATGAGAGTCCACACAGGAGAGGAAATATACAGCTGCAATGTTTGTGACAAAAGATTTAAATGGCGTAGTCATTTCAAAAGACACAAGTGTGTTGGTCGTCAGTCCTCACAGCTTAATTCAATTCAAACTGAGGATAACGGAGAGGCAGAGCCTCCAATCAGCAGCTCAGCTGAACACATGGAAGCAGAAGCTGATGTAGAGGACAATGAAAAAGTCTTGACAATTCACACATGAGAAAAATCTGACTGACTGGATTAACATTGTTGCACTACATTCATATAAGACTTAAATGAACTCCATCTTTATCAACATAAGTGGACAATATGTTTAATGTTTTTGTCATACTGATTTTCTGATTTATACGTTAACCACTGACTGTTGGTGAACCATTTTATTTTGGATTGAGGGCTCCAAGTTTCCATATAGAGATATAGGATGATTCGATGTTTTGTTCTTTATTTCTAAATGTTTTGTATCATTGCTATCCTGTTAATGAGCCCTGCTGTTTTTACATAAATGTACCTGTTATCTGATTGTTTTTGCTTCTGTAACTGTAAGGGAAATGTTTTCCAAGGCCCATAACTTTGACCCAGTTTATCAGTTCAAACTGTCCTGACTGAGCACACGCACCTGTAATCTTGGCTGCTGTTCTCTCAGTGTTTTGTCTCCCCGTTCCTGCCTGTTGGCGTCAGCTGATAGAGGTGTTATGATTCTATCTTGTTATGCATAATGTTGATTATTCTCTGAGAACAAGCTAAATACATGAGTCTGGGGTAGAGTTCTCTCAGAATTGACGTGGCAACTCTACCGTGAATTCAGAACCTCTGACTCTTTGACTGGTTTTATGAATTCTCCGGCCGAAGCTCCAAATAAACCCATCAGTGTTTGACATCAAAGCTCCAGCTCTCCCCATGTCTCATTTGAGGCAAGGCCAGTTTATTTATATAGCACCTTTCAACACAAGGCAATTCAAGGTGCTTTACAATAATGAAAGACATTTGAGTCGGTGACTCCTCCTGCATTGCTACACAGAAGTTTGCCCCACAGTAACTGTAAGGGAATTCATTTGTCTATTTTGTATCCTGATGACCTAATGCCGTTACATGTAATGCGTTTCTCCCTAAGCCTGATTTCACCCACCTGCAACCGATTCGCTAATAATCACAAATGTTCATTTATTTGACCCCTTGACTCGACTATTTCTTGTTTAATAATCGTTACATCTCCTCAGGTCCAAGTTCCCGTGTCCTGCCTTTCACCTGCTGATCACCCACTGCTCATTTAAGGTGGACTGACCTTTACAATGGACCAACTAGTCTTAGTGTCTTAATGCAAACATTACATTACATTACATTGCATTTAGCTGACGCTTTTGTCCAAAGCGACTTACAATAAGTACATTCGACCAGGAAGACACAACCTTGAAGAAAACAGAATCATATAAGTATATCAGGTTTCATAGAGCCAAACATTTCAAGTGCTACTCAACTGGCTTTAGGTAATCCAGTCCTTTATTGGTATAAAAGTGCTTCGTTAATCGTTCTAACGCTCGAAGTGGAGTCGAAAGAGATGAGTTTTCAGTTTGCGCCGGAAGATGTGCAAGCTATCTGCCGTCCTGATGTCAATGGGGAGCTCATTCCACCATCTTGGAGCCAGGATAGCAAACCCACGTGTTTTCGCCGATGGGAACTTGGGTCCCCCTCGCAGCGAGGGCGCAACGAGTCGTTTGGCTGATGCAGAGCGTAGTGCACGCGCTGGGGTGTACGGTTTAACCATGTCCTGGATGTAGGAAGGGCCAGATCCATTCGCAGCACGGTAAGCAAGTACCAGTGTCTTGAAGTGGATTCTAGCAGTTACCGGAAGCCAGTGAAGGGAGCGGAGGAGCGGAGTGGTGTGGGAGAATTTAGGAAGGTTGAAAACCAGACGAGCCGCTGCATTCTGGATGAGCTGCAGAGGTCCGATGGCACATGCAGGTAGACCAGCCAGGAGGGAGTTGCAGTAGTCTAGGCGTGAGATGACGAGAGCCTGGACCAGAACCTGAGTCGCTTTCTGAGTCAGCTGGGGACGTATCTTCCTGATGTTGTAAAGCGTGTATCTGCAGCAGCGGGTTGTAGCAGCGATGTTTGCAGTGAAGGACAGGTTGTTATCTAGGGTCACACCCAGATTCCTTGCAGTCTGAGTCGGGGAAACAACTGAGGTGCCGATGTTGATTGTCAGGTCAAGAGTTGGACAATCTTTTCCCGGGAGGAAGAGCAGCTCAGTCTTGTCAAGGTTGAGCTTGAGGTGGTGAGCAGACATCCACTGAGAGATGTCAGCTAGACAAGCAGAGATGCGTGCGACGACCTGGGTCTCTGAGCGGGGAAAGGACAGAATTAATTGGGTGTCGTCAGCGTAGCAGTGGTAAGAAAAACCATGCGGGCTAATGACTGATCCGAGCGAGTTTGTGTACAAGGAGAAGAGGAGGGGACCAAGAACAGAGCCCTGAGGGACCCCCGTAGTTAATTGACAAGGGTCGGACTCAGACCCTCTCCAAGTCACCCTGTAGGTACGGTCTTTCAGGTATGAGGTGAGGAGGGAAAGTGCAGAGCCAGAAACTCCAAGTTTTTGGAGAGTGCGAAGGAGGATCTGATGATTCACCGTGTCGAATGCAGCAGACAGGTCCAACAGGATGATGACAGAGGAGAGGGATGCAGTTTTGGCAGTGTGCAGTTCCTCCGTGACAGCAATGAGAGCAGTTTCTGTGGAGTGACCTGCCTTGAAACCAGACTGGTGCGGATCCAGAAGGTTGTTCTGATTGAGATAACAGGAGAGTTGTTTAAAGACAGCGCGTTCAAGTGATTTAGACAGGAACGGGAGGAGAGAGACAGGCCTGTAGTTTATAACATCAGACGGGTTGAGAGTGGGTTTCTTTAGGAGAGGGTTTACTCTTGCCTCCTTGAGACTGTTTGGAAAGTGACCAGAAGTTAGAGAAGTGTTGATGAAATGGGTGAGAAACGGTAGAATATCAGGAGCGATAGTCTGAAAGAGGTTTGAAGGGATAGGGTCCAGAGGACAGGTGGTAGGGCGGGCAGAGGTAATGAGGGTAAGAACCTCACTTGGAGAGAGAGGGGAAAAGGAGGTTAGTGTGTTGGTGGAAGGAAGGTCTGGTGACCCAGCGGTGAGTAAAGGTGAGTCAGAAAAAGAAGAGCGAATATCATTAACCTTTTTTTCAAAGTGGGTAACAAAGTCGCTTGACAGAAGTGAGGAGGGGGGAGGAGCTTTTGGAGGGTCCAAGAGGGTGGAGAAGATGGAAAATAGTTTTTTAGGATTGGAATAGGAAGATTGGATCTTATCTTGAAAGAAAGTGCTTTTTGCCTGAGAGATCGAAGCAGAGAAAGAGGAGAGGAGAGCTTGATAGGTTAGGAGGTCGTCACGGTGTTTGGATTTCCACCATTTCCGCTCTGCTGCCCTAAGGACGGTTCTATTAGCACGCAGTGCATCATTTAGCCAGGGAGCCGGAGGGGACTGACGAGCCTGCCGAGATGTCAGAGGACAGAGCGAGTCCAGAGTGGATGAGAGAGTAGAGAGGAGAGTTTCTGCAGCAGAGTTTGGAGGCAGTAGTTGGAACGAATCAGAGGAAGGGAGGGCTGAGAGCACCGACGAGGCAAAGGTAGAGGGAGAGAGGGAGCGAAGGTTACGGCGGACAAGTGTAGGATGGGAAGAGATGAGTTTGTTATGTTTGGAAAGGGATAGAGAGAATGAAATGAAGAAGTGATCGGATGTGTGGAGCGGGTTTACAGAGAGGTTAGAAGTAGCGCAGTTCCTTGAGAATATGAGATCAAGGACATTGCCAGCTTTATGAGTCGGTGGGGACGGAGAGAGTGAGAAAGCAAAGGCGGTTAACAGAGATGTTAGTTCGTCTATCTTCCCCATCTGGAGGTTGAAGTCTCCGAGAAGTACAGCGGGAGGGCCAGTTTCAGGGATGTGTGAGAGGAGATGATCTAATTCCTCCAAGAAGTCCCCCAAGGCGCCTGGTGGACGGTAGAGAACAACAATGGTTAACTGTATAGGATGGGTTACTGTGACGGCATGGAACTCAAAGGTGGAAGGAGTAAAGTTAGGTAGCTTGAAGAGGGAAAAGCTCCATTTGGGAGAGAGCAGGAGACCAGTGCCACCTCCTCTGCCAGTGGGTCTGGGTGTATGGGAGAAGGAATATGCAGTGGAGAGAGCTGCTGGGGTGGATGTGTTGGATGGAGTAATCCAGGTCTCAGTGAGAGCAAGGAAATCCAGAGACTGCAGGGAGGTGTAGCCAGAGATGAAGTCAGCCTTAGGAACAGCTGACTGGCAGTTCCACAGGCCACCTGAAACTAGATGATGGATCTCAGTGGAGCACGTGGGATAGACGAGAGCAGGCCGGTTATATCGATTAGGAGATACACGGGGCCAGTGATAATTGCGAGAAGACACATGAACAGGAATGGAGAAAATACACATGATTATAGCATGAGGGGCTAAACAACAAAAGTAAAAATTAAAAACGCCAACGATACTTAGCTCAATCAAAGTAGGATTTGCCTCCCTCGTGACTCCCGTAGGACTCTAATGTCTTTGTCAGTCTTACTCCTGTAGGACTCTAATGTCTTTGTCAGTCTTAGCCTGTCTGCCGCTGAAGCTGCCGCTCCAGGAAAGAGCTACCCGAAATGGACGCCTGATTGCTCAGTTCTCACAGCTGAAGTTAATTAGTTAACTATCTACAGCTGATGGGCGACAATAGACTGGCCCTGCCTATGTTAATAATGCAGGCTTGAGTGCTGAGAGCTGTAAAGCAGGTTTCGCCTGAGCAGATCTGAGATTTAAAATCTCTCAAAAGCGATTTAGCCGTTTTAGCTACAGTAACAATTATACAGAGTCGAATAAATGAAACCGAGAAGTCTAATTAAACAAGAATATAACTTACAGTGGTTGCTGCGTCAATAGGTAATGTTGTCACCGGGTCCAGATGCACACTGAGTTCATCAGTTTCTAAATGCGGTATTTAAATGCTTTTTGAGCTAAAGGATGACTGAGTCACGCAGTTCTACTTCACGCAATCAATAGACTGGCCCTGCCTATGTTAATAATGCAGGCTTGAGTGCTGAGAGCTGTAAAGCAGGTTTCGCCTGAGCAGATCTGAGATTTAAAATCTCTCAAAAGCGATTTAGCCGTTTTAGCTACAGTAACAATTATACAGAGTCGAATAAATGAAACCGAGAAGTCTAATTAAACAAGAATATAACTTACAGTGGTTGCTGCGTCAATAGGTAATGTTGTCACCGGGTCCAGATGCACACTGAGTTCATCAGTTTCTAAATGCGGTATTTAAATGCTTTTTGAGCTAAAGGATGACTGAGTCACGCAGTTCTACTTCACGCAATCAATAGACTGGCCCTGCCTATGTTAATAATGCAGGCTTGAGTGCTGAGAGCTGTAAAGCAGGTTTCGCCTGAGCAGATCTGAGATTTAAAATCTCTCAAAAGCGATTTAGCCGTTTTAGCTACAGTAACAATTATACAGAGTCGAATAAATGAAACCGAGAAGTCTAATTAAACAAGAATATAACTTACAGTGGTTGCTGCGTCAATAGGTAATGTTGTCACCGGGTCCAGATGCACACTGAGTTCATCAGTTTCTAAATGCGGTATTTAAATGCTTTTTGAGCTAAAGGATGACTGAGTCACGCAGTTCTACTTCACGCAATCAATAGACTGGCCCTGCCTATGTTAATAATGCAGGCTTGAGTGCTGAGAGCTGTAAAGCAGGTTTCGCCTGAGCAGATCTGAGATTTAAAATCTCTCAAAAGCGATTTAGCCGTTTTAGCTACAGTAACAATTATACAGAGTCGAATAAATGAAACCGAGAAGTCTAATTAAACAAGAATATAACTTACAGTGGTTGCTGCGTCAATAGGTAATGTTGTCACCGGGTCCAGATGCACACTGAGTTCATCAGTTTCTAAATGCGGTATTTAAATGCTTTTTGAGCTAAAGGATGACTGAGTCACGCAGTTCTACTTCACGCAATCAATAGACTGGCCCTGCCTATGTTAATAATGCAGGCTTGAGTGCTGAGAGCTGTAAAGCAGGTTTCGCCTGAGCAGATCTGAGATTTAAAATCTCTCAAAAGCGATTTAGCCGTTTTAGCTACAGTAACAATTATACAGAGTCGAATAAATGAAACCGAGAAGTCTAATTAAACAAGAATATAACTTACAGTGGTTGCTGCGTCAATAGGTAATGTTGTCACCGGGTCCAGATGCACACTG